TCTTGAAGATAACAAAACTTGGCTAGTTGTTGACTTACCAAAAGGGATGCATATTGTTGGCTCAAAATGGGTGTATAAAGTCAAATATAAGGACAATGGTGAGGTGGAGAGATTTAAAGCCAGGCTGGTGGCAAAAGGATATAGCCAGCAAGAAGGGTTGGATTACCATGACACATTCTCACCAGTTGCCAAGATGGTGACGGTAAAGTGTGTGATTGCGTTGGTTGTATCTAAAGGATGGAACTTGTATCAAATGGATGTCTATAATGCCTTCCTTCAAGGTGATCTAGATGAAGAGGTGTACATAGAAATGCCTGAATGTTTTAGATAACCAGGAGAAACTAAAGTGTGCAAATTACTTAAATCATTATATGGTCTTAAACAAGCTTCTAGGCAATGGAACTTGAAGCTCATAAGTGCTCTATTGGCCACTGGTTTTACCCAGAGTGCTCATGATTACTCCTTGTTTACACTAAGAAGAGGTGAAGCTTTGGTTCTTATTCTTGTTTATGTTGATGACTTGCTAATCACGGGAAATAATGAACAACTTATCACTGAAGCCAAGAACAGCCTACATAAGGAGTTCAAGTTAAAAGATTTGGGTGAGCTTAAATATTTTCTGGGAATTGAGGTACTAAGATCTTCCAAAGGTGTTATTTTGAATCAAAGGAAATATATTTTAGAGCTTATTGCAGATTCAGGACTTACTGGTGCAAAGCCAACAGCCACTCCTATTGAATCCAACCTAAGACTTACTTCAGTAGAACATGACTTAGTAATTGGCTTTACTGAAGATGAGGTTCTACATGACATTACTCCTTATCAAAGATTGATTGGGAAGCTTATCTATGCAACCATTACAAGGCCTGATATCAGCTATACAGTACAAACTCTTAGCCAATTCATGCAGTCTCCCAAGAAGTCACATTGGGATGCAGCTACTAGAGTAGTCAGATATTTGAAAGGCACAATAGGTCAAGGGGTCTGGTTACAAGCTAAACCTGCCAATATGCTCACCTGTTGGTGTGATTCTGATTGGGCATCTTGCCCCAACACAAGAAGGTCCATTACAGGATATGTAGTCAAGTTTGGTGAATCATTGGTGTCTTGGAAGTCTAAGAAGCAGCAAACTGTCTCACGGAGTTCAGCTGAAGATGAATATAGAAGCATGGCTTCAGCTGTTTCTGAAATCACTTGGTTGCTAGGCCTTTTTACAGAACTTGGTGTATCCATTCACACGCTTGTCACCATCTTTAGTGACAGTAAATCAGCCATCCAGTTAGCAGCCAACCCAGACTTCCATGAGAGAACCAAGCACATTGAAATAGATTGTCATTTCATCAGAGATAAGATCAAGTCAGGCATGGTTGAGACTGTTTATGTTTCCACACAGCAACAGGTTGCAGACCTACTAACAAAGGGACTGAGTCAAGCTCAACATTCATATTTTCTAACCAAGCTTGGTGTGCTCAATGTTCTGCACCCTTCAGCTTGAGAGGGTATGTTCGAATGTGCATTATTGTATAATCAGTTTTTACTGTTAGAATTGGATTACTGTTTTCATTCAAATGTTAGTTAATTAGTTAGTTGAATGTATGAGCTGGCAATATGGTTAGTTGAGTTAGTTAGTCACGTCATTTTGATGTGATCCTTCTAGATTCTTCTAGATTAATTCTCCCATCTATAAAGCCTTGTATCTTCATCATTTTGTAACTAATTCAATACATGAAATAAAATTCTCTCCCTCTTTTCTGACTCTGTTCCTTCTCGTTCATCCATGGCAGAAGGATGATTGAATTTCGAGTTTTCTACATTTGAGTTTCTAGTTTTTTCACAGATTTATTTATCCATTTGTTACTTTTTTAAAAAAAATCTTAAGCTGAAATTCGCATTGTGATTATAAAAAGTTAAATATCACTATGTTAAAATTATTGAGATTAATTGGGCCAAATTGGACGGATCAAGACCCAACCCGTTTTTTAGCCCATTTGAATCCAACCCATTTGAGCCCAAACTAAACTTGAGCGGGTCAAGATCCAACCTGATTTCTATTTCAACCCGTTTTAATATCTTTAATTTCAACCCAACCCACCCATTTGGCACTCCTAACTACTGGCCAGACACGAGTTTTTGGCTAAAAGCATCCCTCAAATATACACTAAATTTAAACAACATCCTTTTACTACCACAATGAGCAAAAAACATCCCTTAACTATCCTAAAAATGGCCAAATTCACCCTTCCATCTTTTTTCTTGATAGAAACTAACGGTTAAATTCATTTCTTTTCATGTAAATGAAGCTAGAATTAACTATGGATAAATATGTGGCGTTTTTCACATATTAAAGTTGTAATTCTTCTCACGTGAATATGATGAAAAATACATAGTAAAATATTTATAAAAATTTCACATAGTTTGTATCTTAAGAAGCGAAAAACGTCACATAAATTGGAATAAAAAAATATATTTTTTATGCAATATCTAAATATGTTACTTTATATTTTAAAAATATAGTGACTAGTGTTTATCAACAAAAATAAAATAAAAATAGACTACCTTCATAGTTTAAATTCCCTCATTGTCTAGGAAATAAAGAGAAAATTATACATTTTTTTCTTATAAAATTTTGTTGCTTATCTGATCAGTAATTATATAGAGCGAAAACTATTTTACTTGAAATATTTTGCTCACTTTTTACGGGACATCCTGGCTGCTACTGTGAAGTTGAGGATGCAAACCTCTCTTCGTAGCTCATTCAATTTAGTTAGGATTGTCTATGACTACTATAAGCTAAGAGAAAAATGGGAGCAAACAAAATAGGGGATTTGTAGGTTGATCAACCGTTAGTTTTTTTGACAAAAACTAATTAAAGGATGAATCTTGCCATTTTTAAGATAATTGAGGGATGTTTTTTGTTCATTGTGATAGTGCAAGGATGTGGTTTAAACATAGAGTATAGTTGAGGGATGTTTTTGGCCAAAAACTCGGCCAGACACCATATCAACTTTTGATTATCTTCCAAATATTCTCAACCCACTTCTTTCGCTCTATAAAACCTCTTGCTAAATGCCAATAGTTAATAATAATACTCTTCAAACTATTATCTTTGTGTTTTACATAATTATAAAGATATTAATTTTACTTTTAAAAATTTATCCTTATTTTACACGTTTTGAAAAAGTATTTTTCAGTGAAAATTTCCTATGAATACTAAATTAAATATAAAGAATGCTTAATTGAGAGGTGGGCAAGGAGCGGAGATGGTTGATCTGTTATTTGTTTAATACTTGCATCTTTTTTAAAATTATTGATCTTTTTAGCTTGAAACACCTCTTAAAAGAATTACTTACTTGTAGAAAATATGAAGAATTATACTTTATGATCTGACTTTTAATTAAATGTCTTGAAGAAAGAAGTCGTTCTATAATGACATAAAACTCCATGAATTAAAAAGGGTGATTTTGGCTAGGAAAATATATTTTTTCTTAATTATGTAACACTTCACTAATTTTGAAACAAATAATAAGATAAAAATATCATTTATTTTGAAACGGAGGAAGTAACAAGCTGACAAGTGGGGAATTGCTTTACATCAATTGATTTTGTGATTCATTTAATTTATTCATTTTGTTTTATGCTAAATTTGTACAAAAGAAAAAGTACTCCCTTTGTTATTTTTACTTATCATTATTTGACTTGATATGTTCATTAATAAAATAACTATTGCTATAGATATTTTACTATACTATCCTTATTAATTATTGTTTTGTATTTGGTCTTGATAAATGACATGGAGAATATTATTTAATGTTAGGGGTAAAACATGAAAAAATAATAATTGTCTTTTATATATATATATATATATATATCGAAAGTGACAAGTAAAATTGAAAATCTATTTAAGAAATAAATGACAAGTAAAAGTGAAGTAAGGAAGTAAAAGTTCATTACATAATTATTTTCTTTTATTCAAATTATTCGCTGAATTATTTCATCAATTATACACTTGTTTAGAATATAAGAAACGAAATTAAGTTTTTTGGTGTTTAGAATATAAGAAATGAAATTAAGTTTTTTTTTGTTTAGAATATAAGAAATGAAATTAAGCTTTTTCTTGTTTAGAATATAAGAAATGAAATTAAAGTTTTTTCTTACATTACGCATGTCTTTCCTTTTTATCGAAAGTAGGGTTTGAAACGTGAGAAGTCTTGTCTTCACTTGTTTTATAAAAGGGGTCACTTTTCTTAATTATTGTAGACATAGCTTCAAGATAAGGTTGCTTATTAACTATGGATATTAATTAGGAGGTCAGGAAACTACAAACCTAGCATTTGGGATGATGAATATGTCCAATCATGACCCAACTTGTACGCTGTTAGTCCAAAAATAATAAGTCGATTTATTTTTTTTCATTTTCGACATTCCAAACTTAATTTACATCGCGATAGCTAGATGCATGTGCTAATTATTTGGAAAAAACTAGCGACGAACTTGTCTATCATGCAGGAAGAGAAATATTGTGAACGGGCTGAAAAACTAAAAGAAGAAGTAAGAAGGATGTTGGAGAAAATAATAACAAACTCATTGGAACAACTTGAGCTTATTGATATTTTGCAAAGACTTGGAATATATTATCACTTTGAGGAAGAAATTCATACAGTATTGAAGCAAACATGCGTTAGTTATAATTATAATAAAAGAGATCTGAACAATGAGGAGGTGTATGCTGTTGCTTTAGAATTTCGACTTCTTAGACAACAGGGCTATCATGTTCCTCAAGGTACTTCAAATCATTTTTCAATACCTAATACTTCAATTCATTTTTCAATACCCACTCAACAGGAGATACATTGTTGTCAGAACCCACAAATAGTAGAAAAACTGTTCATCTACGGTAGATATATTGTTCAAGACCCAAATAGTGGGACCCTTTTTATTATACATAGTCCTTATGTTTTCCTTTTGTCTATATAAGGTTTAGTTTTCTTTCAGAGAAGGGCATCAGAAAAAATTACAATCGCTCTCTCCTTTTCATAGTTGTAAATCTTTTGTAAAGACTATTTTCTTCGAGCACTGTTCCGACCTTCAAATAAATAAACCAGTCAGTTCTTAAGAGTTACTTGTGTTGGTGACGACCGTCCTTACTAAGGTATTTTTCTTTTCTTTTCTTTTAGCTCTGTCTCTCCTAGCCAGGACTATGTCCGGCTAAAGATCTCATATCTATGTCGAATAACTAACACCTCTCCTATATAGACCGTGAACAGATCTAAGCTTTTTTTAAATATAAAAGAATTTTAGTATGGCTTCTCGACTTGGTTCTGAGATCGAGGTACAGTCGGATCTAGTACTACTCTTATTGGCTTTGCCTTAGTGGTTTTGTCTGGCCAGTCATGGTTCTTAGCCCGAAAAGGAGTTTGATAAGTAGGGCGCCTTATACCCAGTAAGAATTGATAGACACATGGGCTCAATAAGATGTATGTATTAGATTCCTGACAGACCCTTTACTCAGGTAAAATTATCACCATGCAGTCTGAGAAACTATGCTAAAATTCTTGTGTATTTCGATTCTTATGTTGTTGGACTACCTCTAAGAATGCTGAATTGCTTGATCCTTGATTGGGCGGACTACCACCAGGTCCTTGATCCTGTAAACTTGGTTTATTTTATTGTTATTGTTAATGATATTTTCATGGCACGACATCTAACCTAGACTGAAGATTAGTTATATTGAGTACTTAATAAGTATTGAGAGAATCATCATATCATGCAAATTTTAGATTGTGAATACTCCAATATGAGTTTGAACTTTCAACTATTGGGATATTTTTATTTTTTTTTGCTTTGGAATTGGAAGGATTTTATTTATTAAATAGTAGGTTCATCCATACAAAAAGGAACTGATCTAAACGATATAGTTCCATTCTCATCTCCTTCAAGAGCTAGTGTAAAGGAAGGAGATGCTTCAAAAACAAACAACTTGTTCATAGGCACATTTGGATCCATAGTCTTCTCCTTCCATATTCCGCTAATATTGGGATTTGATTATACACATATTGAGAAGTGGGGAAGGCCAGAAGGGGGAGAAAGGGTTGATCTTTTAATTTGTCTGTCAAATACTTTTTCGCTTTCAAAATAAGTGATGTTTTTAACTTAGACATATTCCTTAAGAAAATTACTCCATTTTGAAGAAAAGAATTCTGGTAGAAAAAATTAAACTCTTTTATGGTGTAAAATTTCATGTATTAAAAAGGTAATTTTGGCAGTAAAAAATGATTCTTCTTTGAATATGTAAAACAAGCTTATTTTGTAGCAAATAAAAAGATAAAAATGTCACTTATTTTGAAATAATAATAAGTTGACAATTATACACTTGTTTAGAATATAAGAAATGAAATTAAGATTTTTCTTACATTACTCTTACGTGTTTTTAAAGTAGGGATTGAAACGTGAGAACTCTTTACTTCACTTGTTTTATAAAAGGTGAAAATGTGGCTCACTTTTTTCTTATTATTGTAGACATACATGCTTCAAAGTTACATATCAACTATGGATATTAGGAGGTCAGGAAACTACAAACCTAGCATTTGGGAGGATGGATATGTCCAATCGCGACCTAATTTGTACGCTGTAAGTCCAAAAATATTTTTCATTTTCAACATTCCAAACTTTATTAACATCGCGATAGATGCATGTATGTGATAATTCTTGTATTTATTTTTGGGAAGAAAATAATTAGTGACAAACTTGTTTATCATGCAGGAAGAAAAATTTTGTGAACGAGCTGAAAAACTAAAAGAAGAAGTAAGAAGGATGTTGGATAAAATAATGACAAACTCATTGGAACAACTTGAGCTTATTGATATTTTGCAAAGACTTGGAATATATTATCACTTTGCGGAAGAAATTGATACAGCATTGAAGCAAACATACGTTAATTATAATTATAATAAAAGAGATCTGAACAATGAGGAGGTGTATGCTGTTGCTTTAGAATTTCGACTTCTTAGACAACAGGGCTATCATGTTCCTCAAGGTACTTCAAATCATTTTTCAATACCTAATACGAAACATCAATTAATATGGTAGTGTGGTAAAACAATTATTGTTGTCGTAACCGGTGTACCAAGTCTAAATGTGACAGTTAATTGTAAAAATGAAGGGAGGGAGTAGCTATATCTTATAGTAAATCCATGCTTTGGTTCCTTTTTGTTTTTTGGCAGAGATATTTTGCAGTTTCATGAACAAGGAAGGAAAGTTCAAAACAGCCCTTGTGGAGGATACTAAAGGACTGTTGAGTTTGTATGAAGCTTCCTATCTTTGTATGGAAGATGAAAATATTATGGAGAATGCTCGAGATTTCGCCACTCATTATCTCATGGAAAGCCTTAAGAAGAAGAAGATGGATGAGAATGTTGGTGAACAAGTAAGCCATGCTTTAGAAATGCCTGTGCATTGGAGGATGGAGAGATTAGAAGCAAGATGGTTTATAGAAATTTATCACAAAACAGAGAACATGAATCCTCTTCTACTTGAACTTGCAAAGTTGGACTATAACATGGTGCAAGCTACATACTTGGAGGAACTAAAACAAATGTCAAGGTGATTTCTATATGACATTTGAAAAGTGAAAACACTATTTGACATTTTTTAATGAAAAATATTTTTAGATATCTGGTTGGTGAGTGAAAATTACTTTCTAAAAAGATATCTGGTTAGTAATCTAGTACTAGCTAGTAAATTGGAAAGAACATTAATCTGGCTGGTTATGACGCATGCAGGTGGGATAAGAACATTAAACTTGTTAAAAAGATGAGCTTTGTGAGGGACAGATTGGTGGAGGGCTTCTTCTGGGCTGTTGGTTTCACTCCTAATCCTCAGTTCGGATTCTGCAGAAAGCTTTCAACAAAGCTTGCTGTTCTCATCACAACAATTGATGACATCTATGATGTTTATGGTACCTTGGATGAACTTGAGCTCTTTACTGATATTGTTGACAGGTTTGTCCACATGCTTTACATCTTTTCCTCACTCTCAATTTTTATACTATCGTGGCACCTAAAAGACAACTATCCATAATAAATGAAATCAATAATTTGGAAAATGAGATAGTAGCTAGTTTACCTGTTACAACAGGTTAAAATACACTAGTATAGTTATTGTCGTTATGGGGGTGGAATAGAATCTCATGAAATATAATTCATTGTCGTTGCATGTTGTGAAGATGGGACATCAATGCAACAGAGCAACTACCTGAATACATGAAAATCAGCTTCCTAGCTCTTTTCAATTCAATGAATGAACTGGCTTATGATATTCTCAAAGAACAAGGGTTCAGCATAATTTCACAGATAAGGAAGCAGGTAATAAACCTTTTTTCTCTATCTTAAATTTCCCACCTAATTGTATATTGACATGTTCTGGATCAAATATTTCAGTGGGCTAACCTGTGTAAAGCTTACTTATTGGAAGTGAAGTGGTATCAAAGAGGATATACACCTACCTTGAATGAGTTCCTGAGAAATGCCTGGATATCCAACACCGGTCCTGTACTAATAATGCATGCTTATTTTTGCATCACAAACCCCATAAAGGAGGACGAATTGGAATGCTTAAATCATTATCCTCCCATCATTTACTCACCTTCGCTAATTCTTCGACTTGCAAATGACTTGGGAACTTCACCAGTAAGTTATGCTTATAAAATAAAATTTTGTGCCTCATCAGTAAGTTCCTTAACTATCTCTGATACTTACAAGTCAAAAGTTGTTTGGTTTTTCTTTTCCCTTTGTTCAGGATGAAATCAAGAAAGGAGATCATCTTAAATCAATCCAATGTTACATGCATGATTCTAAGTGTTCTGAAGAAAATGCTCGAAACTACATACAGAAGTTAATTGATCAGACCTGGATGAAGATGAACAGAGACATACTAAGGGACCAATCCTTCTCAAAGGATTTTAGAAGAACTTCGATGAATCTTGCTAGGATTTCTCAATGCATTTACCAGCATGGAGATGGATTTGGTATTCCAGATCGTGAGACAAAGGATCGGATACTCTCCTTGTTCTTTGAACCCATTCCTCTTACCTGAAATGCCATGCTTCATTATACCTGCCTACACATGAAACTCAATGAAAAAGAAATAAAATATATAAGAATATCTGTGATAAGGGACGTATCTTCCAGACTTACTCAAGGAGGAAGAAGCGAAGAAAGATAATGATTTGCATCTTCTCAAATTCCTGGAGGTTTCACGCATGGTGGATTGAGCAGCTTGGCAGTTCCTTATGGTTACTACAAGTTTCTGTCTTTATCCTAAATAGTTATGAAGTAGTTATAGTATTTAAGACTACATCCAGTAATGTGTAGGCAGGCTATAGTATATCTTTTATTTGCAGAAAGATTGTTGTTACGGGAGACACGCGATACTAGTCTCTCTTTGTATTTTCTGTTGCTTGTATCCAGTATAAAACTTTGGTTTCTATCAATCTGTATTCTATATCCTGAAACTTGTATAATGCCCTGCAGTAAATAAGGCTTTGGAAGAGCCATGGTATTGCAAGAAATAGTTATCGACATTGTCACGAATTTCCGACATTACATAACAATGGAAGATGAAAAACCCTACAAGAACAATCAAGTAGAATACAGGGATCCCCTGACAATTCTAAATTGGGGATGAAGTATTATAATCTCAATCTCAAGAAAATAGTTATGAAAGAACAATTATACATGTCAACATACAAAACACATCATCAGGGCAAGAAAATGGTTTTTTATTATTTTTCTGGAATTCTGATCATTCACTCGTTGAGCTCATCAATTGGAATGACTTAACCAGCATACACGAGGCAAGTACCTAGTCCGTTATCCCAACTTCAGTCTTGCTTATCGTTGGTTTATACCATGTGAGAAGCCTGTCCAAACACAACCACTATACCTGCTTCATTGTTATGAAGCTAAAGCGTTCAACTTCTTCTCAAACATCTTAGCCCGTCGAAGGGCGTCCAAGGCCTCTGCCTGCTTTCCAGAACGTTTCAAGTTTAATGCCTTTAATTTCTCTGCCTTTACCCGCTCTTCCAACTGCTTTCTCTCATTGGAAGTTTCATCAGATACACGTGCTTCAGATAGTTTTGGCTCTGATCTTTCAAGGATTTGAGAGGCAATAGTGCCAGTTTTATCAGTATCACCAGTTATAGGTTTTTTCGTTTCCTGCCTTTCCGGGCCACGGGGTACAACAAAGGTATCTGCAATTCCAATTGCTTTTAAAGCAGAGAAAAGCTGAGGATCAAGAAAATCCTCAACACTGACACCCTCTGCTGATTCACCTGTGGGGTCAGAAGACTGCATTGTACCTTGGGAAGACGCTTCTTCCAACTGGCTCTCAATAGCTTTTGCCAATTCAAATTCTGCATCAGCTTCTTCTGTCCTACCTTCCCTTCGCAACTTAAGTGCTTGTCGTTTGTGGCTGAGAGACTGTTGCTGTAATTTAAACCGATCACGTCCAGACAATGGCTTTGGACCTGAGCTGGGACTTACTTCTTTCTGTCCTACTTGAGATATATGAGGTACTTTGTTTGGGCTAACTTCATTTTGTCCAACATGTGAAGTATTAGGACCTGCTGAGACTGTGGAACTACTACTACCCAGAGTCTTTTCCTCCTCAAGGTGCTTCTCTAAGAGTTTTGCCTGTCGAAGTTCCTCCTTGGCTTCTGCCACTTTCCCTTCTCGCTTCAATGCAACTGCTTTCCTCTTGCGAACCAGAATATCTTGACGAAGGGAATTTTGATCAAGCTGAGAATTAACTTCCTCGGCAGTTTTTGACTCAGAGATGCATGGTTTCTCATCTGATTGAGAGACCTCTTCTGGTTTCTCCAGAGTACATGTAACTTTACTTTCCATATCCTCAATCGGACTCTTCCGTGAATCTGATGGTGGAAACTGTGGGTTCTCATGGGGAGAATCAATAGCTATACGTTCTTTCTGCTCATTTGACTTAGTTGGGTTAGACATAGATTCTTCAATTTCAGCCAACTGTTCTTCTAACATTTTAGCCGCATTCATCAATTCCTCTGCCTCCTCAGTCTCTCCTTGGCGTCTTAATGTGAGAGTCTTCCGTTTCAAGCCCAGAAGTTCCCTCTGGATTTCACCTTTACTTTTTTTAGATGCTCGAGTTTGGATGTTACTCATAGCTTCCTTAGTTAGGGACTCGCTAAGATGAGAAACATTATTTTTCCCTTGAAATGACACAGATGGAACATTAGCTTTTTCATCATCCTGCCAGCCCAAATTATTAAGCAGTGAAAGATAAGTTGGGTCATGCATATCTTGATCTGTAACCTCTGCATCTTCATCTCCAGCATCAATATCTGCAATACTTTCATCACGCTTATTCCCAGCAATAGGCTGCACAAATTTTGGTGGATTATCAATATCTTCAAGTTGCTTCTCAAGAATCTTGCCTCTTTCCAGTTCTTCTTCAGCCTCATCTAACCTTCCCTCCCTTCTTAAAGCAAGAGCCTTCTTTTTAATACCAAGAAGTTCTCTCTGGATCACAGACTTACTCTTTGGTGCTACTTTGTGCTCTTTATCCTTTCTTTCAACGAACTTTCTTACATCCTCTTCACCATTACTTAGTTGTTCTTCAAGCTCACTCTCCAGTGTTTTTGCCCTCTTCAGCAGTTCCATTGCCTCCTTAGTTTTACCAGCCCTTTTCTGGTTAACGGCTTCTCTTTTCAGAGACTGAATTTCACTTCGTAGCACTTCCCTATCAACAGGTTTGAATTGCTTTTCTGAAACCTCAGATTCGGCGGCATCTTCAGTCCAGCCCATTGACTCCAAGGCAGCTGCTATTTCTGGGTCATACATATCATCATCAGTTACTTCAAAATTACCATCTGTACCAATATCATCAGCAGTTCCAAGAAGGTTGTCAAAATCATAACTAGAATCTGGTTTATGTCCAGCGGATAAATCATCAAATTTATCAGTATCCAGCCCACGTATTAAAGAAGAAAGCTCATCATCAGAATCTTCATCATCACCCAACAGTTCCTGCTCTTCTATTTGCTTTTCAAGAATTTTAGCCTTCTTCAATTCTTCTTTGGCTTCAGCAAGTTTCCCTTCCCGCTTCAGCTGGATTGCTTTTTTCTTATGAGCAATGACCAGTGACTTGTCCATTCCATGAATTTTCTTTTCAGGATTAGTCTTTCCAGAAACTTCTCCAAGAAGCACAGAAAGTTCACCCTCAAGGCTCATGGTTGCTGGCCTTTTGTCAGCAGTACGAAGATCCATATCTGACCATCCCAGATCTCTGAGTTCAGAAGCAAGATCATCCTTCTCTTCGGTAATTTGAGGAGAGAGCTTATTTTTCCTACCAGATGCTTTGCCAGCATCATTATCTTGCTGGATCTCGGTGACATTACTGGACGACAATGCTCTTTTACGATTTTTTCTCAGAGAAATCTCCAAAGCAGCAGCCTGCCTTTCAAGTTCTTTGCCCCTCTTAAAAGCCCTTAGAGCCTCTTCAGGTTTACCTGCAGCTTTTAGAGTTCGGTGATTCTGTTTTTCTTCCATGGCTTGCTGACGTAATTCTTCAGGAGTAGTGGAACCCATCTCAGCCTGCTGCTCTGTCTGATTACTGCTTCCATCTCCAGCCTCATCTTTACCAGAGAAATCTAGAACATTTGAACCTGATGCAGTGCTTGCTGACTGTTGATCATGGGAAAGAACATCTGAGGTCCTTTCTTTACCCAGAAGCTGATTTAAAACTTCATCCTCACTCTTTGATGCAAGTCTTGAGCTCCCTATGACAGACAACACTTGTATTTCAAATCAAGCAGTAGTTCATTTCTATCTATTAGCACAGTAACTATGACTGAGTAAAACCAGTTATTTGTTTGGTACCTTTTGACGCTCTACTTTTTTGACCATATCGCAATTCAAATCGTGCAGCCTCTTCTAATCTTTTGCATGGTTCACAAATACGCACCGGTGAATCACCTTGTCCACGTAGCACCATTCTTTGCTGGGTACAGCTATTGCAGAAAATGCCCCCGCACCTCCGGCAATGATGCTGAAATTTCATAGTGTGAATCACAACACAAGTGAAAAAAAAAACCAAACACCTACCATATTCATATTTCCATTCAAACAAGCACAAAGAGACAGGAGAGGGGAGGATAAAATCATATATATAGCCTTGGTAGTAAGAAGATAAAAGATGATATTGATATTTCAACAATACTAATGCAAAAAATGTCATTATTAAAAGAACAACAGTAAGGCAGAAAAGAAAAGTTGAAGCCACAGCTAAATAATCAACTTTAACATGGTGTGTCTTAGAAAAAAGGAACCACTCTAGGCAAACCATAAAAGCATATCCGTTAACTACTCCTTTCAACTACTACCTAATGCATTGCAACCTATTCTCACAGCCCAGAGAATGGCATATTGCCCGCTACTGAAGAGGATTGGTTTTTAGGCAACAATATGCGAAAAGTTCAGAGGCTTCACAGCAAAAGGCTAGATTCCTAGGAAGGTAATCTGCAAACACTTGTTTGGAAACAGCAAGAAAATTTCCAGGCCACACATGTGAATTTTGTTTGGAGGGAGATTATCCTTGAGCTGAACAACTACTGAAGAGTTTGAGAACATCATAGCTCAGATATTGCCAAGAAGACGGAAACTACAGAAAAAGCATTCAATATCTGAGCTATAATGACCACAATTTGCTTTCCAATTATATCAAAAAGGAGAAGGTTCATAGTTCTCATAAGAAACAACATCTGCTAACATTGATCTATCAGCAAAAACAAAAAGAAACAATTCAGCAAATGGAATTTTAACTCCAGCTTTTCAAACAGGGTTGATAGATGCCTCAATTGAATTGCAGCTCTACTTGACAAAAGGTTTGGACTATGAATCGCACACAAATATGTCTATATTCTTGGATTATTAGCTATGAGAGAAATATAAACAATAAAATCCAATTACTAAAAGTTATGAACACTTCAAGACCAACTACTTCTGTGGAGATAACCAAATATATAGAAGCATCTTTGTGGTCAAGAAATTCACTAGAGAAGCAAATGAAGAACCTCTTGTTCTCCAATAACTACAATCGCAGATAAGAGCACAAGTGAATGAAAGTTGTATATTGCTGATAACGATGGAAGATATTGGGGGGGGGGGGGGGGGGGGGGTAAAACCCGCACTCAT